TCCATGCACTTCATCGAAGCGGTTCAGCGTTACGGAGGTATACGTCACCGCATCAGCTGCACAACCATATGCAAACATACAAATTGTTGTAGTAGACTTCTGTAGTGCAGAGAAACCGTCCTTTCCGGTAGCATCTCTTCTTTGTTGAAAGTATGTAATTTCTGCAGAGAGTCGATCACAATACCCATGAATAAGGGATTGGTCATTCTAAAACGGCGTCGGAATAGACTAGAAGGGAAAGTTGGATTTTCTACGAAATAATCGTTCCATAACTAGATGTGTCATTCTTCACGATGTCTTTCAGTATAGACTATTTTTTTCTTCAATTGTGCTACTTGTTAACGATAACAGTAATTGTACAAATAATTATCTAATTTATGCTCGAAAATATTATCAAATTCTTCGTCCAACGCTTCTTCGAAATTATCACGGAAAGATGATGCCATTTTCTCTGTAGAAAATATTGGATCTTTTGGTTTGAAGTAGAATTTTTTGGATTTTCTTGATTAAAAAGAAAAGGAAGGCTTGGATTTGGTTTGAGAATAAGAAATTGGTGTGAAAAGAAAATATGAAGGCTTGGATTTGGTATGAGAACAAGTAATTGTTTTTGGAGTAAAATATGGCTTGGATTTGGTTTGTTAACAAGTAATTGGTTGTGGTATTGGTTTGGATTTTTTGTATTGAGTTTGTAAGAACAAAAGAGAATGAAGACATGTGATATTATATGGCGATATTTATAGCAAACCTTCCAAAATAATACATGGTGTACAAAGCAAAGTGAAAACTTGTGGTACAAAGTAAAGTGAAAAGTTGTGGTATAAAGTAAAGTGAAACTTGTGGTGTCCGTGAACCTACAGAGAAAACTTGTGGTGTCCATCATTTTTTTTTTCTTCTTCTCGTTTCACGTGAACGTACAAAGAATATACAAACAGAGAGCAAAACAATGATAACAAAAAATATTTTTTTGTTTGTTTACAGAAATATGACTTAAAGTCACAAATTAATTGAAACGTAAACATCATTTAGCATATGAAACAGAACCATAAACACAAACTACATTGTTGGTAACATAAACACAAACATAAACACAAACACGAAGACAACCAGAAACATAAACATAAATACAAGCAAGAAATTCAAAGCAAAATCTCTGTAATTAGCTTGGTCTTTAGTTCTTCCTCAATTTCAGTAAGAGGATCTGATTTAGCTTGAAGAAATTCAAACAATTTCCTGTTGGTAAGTTTATCTTTCAAAGCATGTTCTTAGCAAAATTTTGTTGTTTTATGTCCCACAAAGTCTGAATCCTTTCCAATGCCTGCCCTTCTACTTCCACATTAGGTGAACTGTTGGCAGTCCTTTTGCCTTAACCCTTGGCAGCCTTCACACCAGGTGGACGAGCTTGAGAAGCTACAGACTCTCCATGGGCTTGGGAAGCTTCAGAAGAATGCATAGAACCAGATTCAACCTTTCTTCTTTTAATCTTGCCAGTCTGATCATGTCTTAACTCTCTCCATGCATGCTCTAGCATGAACTTCTTCTTGTAATCACTCTCGTAAATCTGATGAGCTAGTTTCATCAAATCATCATCATTGTGCCCACTTGTCATCTTAGTTGTTGCAGCTTGATAGGATCCCACAAACTTGCAAACAATCGCGTTAATCTTTGCCCACCTTCATTTGAAATGACTTGGCAGCCTCTGTTTCAGAGTAGAAACATTGAGACTAGCTGAAAAGTATGTTGCAATGCGCTTCCAGAAAGCTTCTCCTCTTTGTTTATTACCAAGCAGAGATGAGGACCACATCTTCTTTGGATGTCCACTTGTTCCTCTTTCTTGGTATGCATTTAATGAACAAGCAACAATACTAATCACACAATTCAAGTCTCACCTAATATATATCATCAATATTCAGATCAGTTAAGGAAGAAAAGACAGTTATTACTTACCCTAATCTCTAGTCTTAATCCGGAGTAATCTTCCTCTGAGTTCTCTCATAAAATCTCCAATCATATGTAGCAGATTCTATCTTTCTTTGTATCTCCATATAATCCTCGCAGTCAAACAGAGATCATTTGATCAAATTCAAGAGGGAAACTAATCAAATTCAAGAGGAATTTGTTAAAACAGGCACAAACAGACACAAACAATGTGTTAAAAGAAATCAATTCATCTCCATACATGATCTCAAAATAAAACTGACCTAATCTATATCACAACCTCATCACTTTAACACATAAATCTCAAAGAAACCAAACAATCATGCGTATAGAAACCAAAACAGATACGAACAGACACAAACAATGTGTTAAAAGCATCAATTCATCTCCATACATGACTTCAAAATAAAACTGACCTAATCTATATCAAAACCTTATCATTTTAATACATATATCTCAAAGAAATCTAATACTTATTCGTATAGAAATTAATCAAAACAAACACAAATTATAGAATCAAACAACTCAAAGTGTAAATCGAAACATTCATCAACACAAACAACCAGATTAAAAACTATCTACACAAACAATCGAATTAAATCGAAGAGTAATTGGTGTAAACGATATTAAAAATCATGCCTAAATATACAGACATACAAGATTAACCCTAATTTTACAAAAACAAAAAAAAAACCCTAATTTCCCCAAATATATGAACCCTAATTTCCCCACACTCAAATAACATCAAATCGAACATGCAGAGAGAGATTCATACTAGAAATAACCGATTTGTGAAGGATTAACTCCGATTTGTTGAAAAATCGGAGATCTTGAACTTAGATCTACGATTACAGCTTCTCCTCGACGCCGATTAGAGCTTCTCCTCGTCGCCGTGGAAACCAAACGTCGGTGGAGATGATGAGATAACTCTTGTAGTTCTGCCGGAGGATAGAAACAGCGGTGAATCAGAGATTTAACTCAATCCCGTCCTTCGTCGCTAGAAAAAAAAAACAAACACGTGAAAATAGAAGATAGAGAGAAAGGAGGAGAAGAGAGAGAATCCCGATTCTCTTTTTTTCCGTTTTATAATTCTTCTTCGACCAATGGGGTGGCGACACGCATCCGCCTCTTACCTTATCTTTTGTTTCTTAATTAAGAGACATTTCTTAAGAAATATCAACATTTGCCATTTAATTAAATTCATATTAAGACCTAAGATTCATCTAAGAGTCATTTAAGATTCATTTAAGAGTCATATATATATATATATATATTTTTTTATATATAGGTTGAAGAAAAGAAAAAATATACTTTTAAATCTAAATAAACATGATTAGAGTTTCTGTTATATTGATTGAGTTTGTATAGTAATCCAAGATTTTTACTTAAAAATTTTCAGAATTTGAATCTTATAAATAATAATATAAAAACAATTATTTAAAGAACATATCATCAATTGGTTGTGAGTTAAAAAAACTCTTATAATTTTGTTTGCTTGTGATCCTATTCTACAAATGTTTTGTGAGTTATCATTACAAATATGAAATCATTACGAGATGGAGAAGTAAGAAAAAAAAAAAATTATCGTTAATTAGTTATAAATTGGAACACATAAGTCATTACAAACAGAAAAATTCATGTGGCTATTGTGTGGAAAATATACAAAAGTATTAGTTCATACGAATTTATTGACAATACGTTAGATAATTTTTTAAAAATCAAATTAGTGTTTCCCTTGGCTTTTGTACTTCGAAGTTCAAAGGAACTTTCTTTATCATTTCAATGAAAATTGCATGGAAGTAAAAAGATGGCTTCACAATCTATACCAAACTTTATATACAAAAGTCAAACTTCTCATTCAGCTTTCTAGGAAAAACTAACTTTGTAAGAGATCAAACATTTTTGATTTTTTTTTTTAATATAAATCTAACTTTCTGTAATGTAATATATTTAATATGTTCATTTTAAATAATAGCGACTACTCGGGTAGAAAATATTTAAGATAACATGAACGGGTATGAATGTACCGTATATGGACAATTCAGATATACAAAATCACCACTCAAACGAATAAAAGTAACATTCATGTTCGGATATTTTTAGATATTTCAGGTAAAATGCATATATTAAAAAGAAACTCCCGATTTGAAATCTTTTGGATAGTTTTAAATTTTTTTAGATAATTTTAAATAAGTTTTAAAACTTGACAAAACAATCCATATATAGGCTAAAATATTGAAGAAATATATTTTGAAAAATAAAATTTAGCAAATGAAGAAAATGTTGTTGAAAACAGAATTGACATCCAATTTTTGGAAACATGTGCTCTCTTTGTATGATAATTGAGACAAATATAAGATTATTTTGCATATAATATTCTATATTTGCAAAATCACCCGAATAAATAATTCAAGTATCTTCTCTCATATTTGAGAAACCCAATTATTATTAAAACTATCAATATATATTTCAATATTAAAAATTATTACTACAGAAATTTTTTATTCTAAATACTAAAAAAATTGAAATTTTATAAAAAGTAAATAATTAATAAGTAATTTTAATAGTTTATGGTTTTTATATGATAATTATATTTGATTAAATGAAATAGTAATAAAAATCTATACTAGTATTTTTGAAGTACATTTTTAGCGGGTGGGTTAAATTGTTTTTGGACACAAATGGTGCCCGACCCGATAAGAAATTTTCTTCATAAAAATTTGGTTGGATCGGGTTATATTTAGCCCAACTCTTGCAACGGTATTTGCCTAAAAGTCGGATACAAATATTACCAAAATTAGATCGTATCCACTAATTAGGTTTCTATATTTAATAATAAAGATATTTATAAGATTTTGTTCTGATTTAACTTTATTATTCTTCTTTCATCTTTGTTTGATTATTTTTGATTTATTTTGAATTATCATATAATACATAAGTTAAAAATCAAATCTCAATTTTTTCTGCATATATCGTGATATATATTACCCAATTAATGAAAAAGTGTGTGTTGAACGTTCCACATCGGGTTGGCACTTATTTACAAACGGTGGCTTCTCACATTCAGAGTCATTTTATCTATATATACATTTTTGAAGTACAAATCTGAAATAAATCATAGAGTTGACACTTATTTACAAAATAATGCCATTGTCATTACTATTACATATTATTTTCAAAAAAATCTTTTAGAAACTGTGGCTTCCAAATAGGCCTGGGCATTCGGATTTCAAATCGGATTCGGATCGGATATATTCGGATTCGGATAATTCGGGTATGAGAGTTTATTATCCGTTCGGATTTTATGATTTTTCGGTTCGGTTTCGGTTCGGATATATTCGGATTCGGATAATTTGGGTAGGAGAATTTATTATCCGTTCGGATTTTATGAGTCATCGGTTCGGTTTCGGTTCGGATAGGTGTCGGATTCGGATCGGTTTTCGGGAAAAAAAACTTAAAAATAGTTCAATCTTAATAAAAATTGATTTAATCTTACTAAAATTTGGTTAAATTTTGCAAAAATATGTATAATTTTAACAAATATAACTAAATTTTTTCCCAAATCTAGGATATTTAGGATATTTTTGTTATTTGCTATAAAATTACAACTAAATATAACTAATATTTTTGGATATATAATTTTTATTTCCGGTTTTCGGATATCCTTTCGGTTTTTGGTTCGGATCGGGTTCGGTTCGGGTAATTCGGATAGGAGAATTCATTATCCGTTCGGATTTTGTGACTATTCGGTTTGGGTTCGGTTCCGGATTTTTCTGATCGGTTTCGGATCGGTTTTCGGATTTCGGGTTTTATGCCCAGGCCTACTTCCAAATATGGTAACAAATTGATTATGTTTCTAAATACGATTAATTACTAATTTTCTAAAACCTCTCTATCTAAATTAAACATTAATATATGATTCTTCTTTCACCTTTTTTATGATCTTATATTTAATTTATTTTTGAGTTTATATAAAATATATATAATTAAGAAAATAATAGATTTTTCTGCATATAATATGATTCAAATTTTTAAAAACGCACATATATTACTCAATCATAAACATGATTATTTTTAGAGAAATTACTTAAAATATCACATTTCAAATTATGTGGTCAAAAATACCACTATTAGTTTAATGTTCTAAAAAAATACCATAAATAGTTTTGGTTTTCAAAAAATACCAAAAACACAAAAATTGATTTTTAAGGGTTGAAAATTTAAAATTTTAGGTTTGAATTGACTATTTTAAATTTAGAATATAGCTTTTGGGAGGTAGAATTTAGTGTTTAGTGCTTAAGATTTAGTTTTGAACAATGAAAATTAAATTTTAATTTCTGTGGTATTTTTATAAAATCAAAATTTAAGTGATATTTTTTTAAAAAAACTAACACTTAAATGTAATATTTTTGAAAATTATCCTATTTTTTGTTTCTTTGCATACCGATCGAGTTGTAATATACCCTTGTCCCTTGACCCTTCGACCACAAAATAAAAGTTTGTCCTTGCTATAAATATTCCGGTCTTCAACTTGCCTATTTCATTAATTATGCACGATTATATAATTCACCACTAATGTTGCATTACCACTCCAAAGGTCAAATATACTAAAATCCTTACATTTTAATATAGATTTCGAATTCTTTCCTCGCATATTAAAACCATCTAACACTGTCTCATTTTCGTTTTATCTAATTAAAAATCCAATATAACCAGCATTTGTATGTAAACAACATTCCTCAGGAATCACTCTTTTGAATCTTAATTAATAGTGGTTGACAAAAAAAAAAAAAAAGCATTTGTATATACTTAAAATACCAGTTGTGTTAATTTTTTTTTTTTTTTTTGGTGCACTTGTTTAGAAACCGAGAGTGTGAAGCAAAGTAATTAAGTATTTAATAATCCAAAACTTTATTAATCAACTGTTTGTGGATAATAAACAATAAAAATAAACATCGTCAACCTTTTCTTCCGTTGAATCTTCTTCCTCTGTTCTTGTGGTCTTATAGTGGAGCAACAAAACAAAACAAATCAAATCAAATCCAATAACAAGAAAGAAAAAAAAACATTTTTAAGAGCAAAAATTTAAAAAAAAATTGGGAGAGAAAGAGAAATCTCCAAGAAAATCTGCATTTTTCAATCTTTAAAGAAAATTGATTTTTGAATCCATACGTTTCTTCTTCTTCTTCTTCACCAATCTCACTCTGAAAAAGATCCTCTTTTGCTAAGTTTTGACATTAAAGTCTCAAACTTTCATGTAAAGTTTAAGTCTTTTGTGATTCTTTCTTCTGGGTTTTTTAATGGGTTCAAGGTTTTGAGAATTAGGGTTTAAAGATTTAAGTTTGTTTTAGGGTTTTAAGTTTTGGATAAGCTTATTTGGTGATTTCATTTGTGTGGATATGGGAGAGTTTGAGGTAGATGGAGAGGAGAAGTTGATTGTTGCTGCTAAGTATGTTGTGAAGGAACTTAGATCTGGTAAGAGTCTTACTAAAAATGCTAAGAAGGTTTTGGGGAATCTCTTATTGGAGTTGTCTCGTGTGGTCATAGCTGAGGATGGAGATGAGGAAGATGAAATAGGTGAGATTGAGCAAAGGCTTAATGTTGTTAGTGATAAGATTATGACTAGAGAAGTCGATGAATCGATGATTTGGGATTTGGGTTCAGATGAAGGTAATCTGTATTTAGATGCTGTGAATGAGTTGAGGAGTTTGATTGAACGGTTGAACGGTTCTTCGGGTTTAGGGAAGGCGGGAAGTGAGGAGCTTTCTTTAAGAAAAGCTCATGATGTTCTTCAAACGGCGATGGCACGGCTTGAGGATGAGTTTAAGCATCTTCTTGTGGAGAATAGATTGCCTTTTGAGCTTGAACATTCGTCGTTTCGGTCTGTTGAAGCGGATCATGGTGTGGAAGAAGAGGCCATGGCTTCGTTTGGCGCTGCTTCTACTGAGGATTTGATTCTTGGAAGCAATAACGATAGTAGGAGAAACTCAGGGGAAATTGTGGTTGATTTGATTAATCCTGATGTTATATCAGATCTCAAGAACATTGCAACCACTATGATTGC